CCCAGGAGCAAATCTTCCCCACCACTTTCTGCACAATCTCATCTAGACTTTTAGATTGATTACAGAAAATTCTATTGTTTCTTTCCATCCAAATGGACCAAAGAACAGCCTGCGGAATAGTATTCCAAACATGCCTGCGGAATAGTTTAGAATGTTAAGTGGCGTGARCTTCCTTAAGATAAGGGGGATGAAGAGGAAGAATAAGGAGGGGGAGAAGGAAGAAGAAGAGGAAGGAGGATTTCATCTTTTTTTTTTTTTTTTAATGAAAGATGTAGAAGAATGAAGATGTATCTAAGTGCAACCAATTGTTGGCCTTCTTCATCCACAGAGTTTATTTGGGCTTGTTCATCCACAGGGTATATTTGGGCTTGTTCAGAGGTGCATCTAAGTGCAACCAGTTGTTGGTTGGTTTAGGTTGACTTGGATTTACTTTGGTATCTGGAAATGAAGAACAAGAGGCAATTGGGAGAGGGACTAGTCTTAAATCTGCATCTTCTTACTAAACAATTCTGTCTTTTAGTATGAAGATATGGGCTTAGGTCCAACTTAACAATTAACRGGGATGTGGCTTTCTAATCATAATCCAATAAATTGAGGTCTAAAAGTGTCCAAGCCAATGCATATTAGGGTTTAGGTTCTAACTTCTAAGTATATTGTATATTTGTACATATGCATGAGATCTTGCAGCCAAGGTTTAAAATGTTGGTGTCTGTGGAAATGCTAATAGTCATCCAAATATAAGAAACATGTTGAAAATATTGTAAAAAGTATAGGCATAGTGGAAACATTGTAAATATGCAAAATATAGAATGATATTTTATTAAATGATAAAAGAAGCATAGGCACACCCTTTTGAATTATTATCTTRTTCCAAATCACTAATCAAAGCTAAGAACTAAGGTTATAAACAACAGAATACGTTCAAAAGTTGCCCAGCTTCATGATAGAATGAGGAGTTAAAGCAAAATTTAAACTCACAGGAAATGTAAATGGTTGTAATAGATCAACCAAATAACTTATTACACAAAGAAAAACTAATATTTAATTTAGCTAGYTCAAAGTGGTAACCATGTAAGTTAGACAGGCAATAACATTGTTACTCCACATATCTACAATATTATCACCRACTTATGTTATAATATATCTCTTGTACTCCACATAGTGCTGGTAGTTCTCATTGGGGAATATGTCGATTCCAGTAAAATTTTGTGTTGCTACCCATGGAAATGAAAATATGTTTTCGATGAATAATAATAAGTTTATTGATTCAGAAGCAACTTTAGAGTGAGTTCATACATCATCCCAACGAGAATCACGAGCTGCAGCCCCTCCTTGTATCTTACAAGTAAACTAGGAAAGAAAAACAAGAATCACAACTGAGCCCAAAATAATTTTCCCTATTTACCCCTTGCTTAGCTAACACATCTGACAAGGTATTTACTGATCTGCCCACCCACTGTACAGTGACCAACATATTCCTTGTCAACCAACTAAATTTCTTCATTTCATTCTTGTATCGCCACATAGCCTCTTCAGAATTTTTCAACCAACCCACCACCACTTTGGAATCCCCCTCGATTATTAGGTGT